GAAAAAGCATTAATGCTACGTAAGAAGAAGATTCATCCGCTGAAGAGATACCATATCGAGTGTATAGTTACTAAATAAAAGTGAAAGCTAATTTTTAACATATTTGAGTAGAAAAACACAGATTTCAGTCATGAACGAGAGTACAACTTAGACAGAGACGAATTGCAAAGATTAATTTACGTCACGAAGAAAGTCTTTCTATGACAATAGTCCTGTACCAACTGTTTCAGCAGCTGGCGACAACAGAAGAACGATTGAAAGGACGAATTAACTCGGTGATGGTAGAAGCATATCGTCTACAACTAAGGCGCAACGATGGAAATGAAATTAAAATAATAATCATAAGTACAATTTTCGTCACATCAAAACTACACCACATAGACCATATTTGATAAAAAAATGATGTAACCTGGATTCCATTACATATGGAGCTGTTATATACTTACTTCAACGTCATACACATCCCTCCAACAGACTTCAAACTCGGGCATTCTTTTCGGTTATTCACCTTGCACCTAAAATTACAGATGCAATGACGAACGGCGACAAAATTCGGTCAACGTTTCGTGATATTGCAGCATGCCTGGCCGATGGCCATCTGGCGCCTCCCCTGGTCCCACATAGGAAAACGACTTCCAGACACGGAGGTTAGCTGCAAACAAAAAGTAGTCATTGACAAGAGGTGGTCTAACCATCAGTATGGGGCTGGGTTCAATATGAACAAGAAAATTCCTTCGAAATGAGTTATAGTATGACGGTCTTGTTATAACGTGGAGAAAGTGACCCGCCTCTCTGAAAAGAAAAACCACCAGTGTCCCCGCTGCCTTGCGGTTAGACGTCGGGTTGTCAAATGCTAGAAGAGACAACTTTGATGAAAAACCGGGCCGAATTCAGGAACCCATCTATTCGAAATTTCTCAAACTATCGTCAGTTCTGCAAGAGGGTGTCGAAACTTCATGGGCTTTGACAATACAAACCGTGGCTGCCAAACACTGACCGGTTCAAGCTGCCCAAGTGCATGGTATTTCAGTGAGCTTCGTATAAGACGAATGGACCAACTGCTCAAATCCCATTGGCTGCAAAGTGGCCTATGGAATAATGGGTTAGAACTCACAAGGAAATAACGGAGGATACGAATTCAAATCGTCGTTAACAATTGAAATGACAGTATACAGAATGGATGGTGAAATGTTGAAACAAGCGGAAGTGAAGATTATGACCGAGTAGATCACAAAAGGCTAGAAAAGGCAAAGCACAAGACGAAAGTTTAGGGAAAAATACAATCCCCAGGTCTGTAGGCCACAGGTGGATGTGGCACGGCGTGAAGAAGAATTGGCGGGGTTCTTGCTCATGATAGATAGAAATCATCCAATTTAGGAAGTATAAACAACTACCAGCAATCACACATAGTTCAAAAATGGCGATTCTTGCACAATTTGCGGATCATAATCACATTAGCAGAGGGAGACGGGTTAAAAAATTTAGCGGCCAAAAGAGGCAACCAAAGCGTTGAAGAAAATCAAAAAAAACGTTCTCTACCACCCGCTTTAAGACTTTCATGACGAATGTCATTTTCTGTACCATCAGTTTTGGTGCACATTTTACAAGCGGGTTAATCTATATACCGATGCCCGTTAACCGCCAGTTGCCTATTCATATGTGAACATAAGAGAGTACTCTCCGAATTTTGTGCGAAACGTAATTATCCTCAGTGACATACCCTGCAAAATGTAAAACGTCAATCAATTCGACTAGAACTCGATTCGACGATTTTCTGACTGCCGCTTAAGGCAGACACGAAATCGACTTAGATATAAACAAAATCATTAAAGAAAGGAACGGCCTCATAAGGTTCATTACGATTACTTAGACTCCGGTAAAAGGCGAACTAGCTGCGACCACCGTACGCTAACACTGAAACGACAGGAATGGCTACACGAGTTACAGTCAGAAATAGGCGCCAACTATTTGAATATGAGTGCATTTTGCAACGATAGATAATGACTTGACAATCAACGTTGCTACCTGTGAATCGCTCATTAAGT